AGAATTAGTACGTCCCCAGGTAATTCTCGCCTACTCTTTTATGAATACTAATGACTCGGACATACTTATTCGCTCGCCTTCTGCTTTTCGCCTACTATATAGTAGAGAAGTAGGCGGTTTCGGACGCACTTTAAGTAGATGCGTCTCCGAATCTCGCGAGAATTAGTACGTCCCCAGGTAATTCTCGCCTACTCTTTTATGAATACTAACGACTCGGACATACTTATTCACTCGGCTACTGCTTTTCGCCTACTATATAGTAGAGAAGTAGGCGGTTTCGGACGCAGCCCCTGTCTTCATCTCGCTGCATTACCGAACAAAATGGGTTACTGAGCAACAGCATTTTAGAGGTGTTTTTTAGTTTGCCCAAAATTAACTGGAGACGCCGTCCGAGGCCACAAGGACCTGGTGGCACCCTAACAGTAGAGTAAGTATCATGTGTAGTGTGATTACATGTAGTACAAATATATATATTTAAAAGTTATTCACTACACACATTTCTTTTATTTTACAGTCTATACAGGCTGGATACAGGTTAGTTCTGGAATAGATGCTGAAAGGAGAGAGATTGGGAAGACGAAACAGGAGGGTTCTTCCATCCTGTGTTGTCAGTGCCATCAGACAGTCATACCCTTCTCCATCAGGACATTATGTGGGCTTCAGAGAAGCAGAAGAAGCTTTTGGTTTTTTGTAGGTATATTAATTGGAATTAGAATTACAATGTTACATTTTTGATAAACATTATAATTTGTTGTGGCTTGGGCAGTATTAGTTACTTACTGTAATTACTGTAGTTTTGTTACTTTCATATTCAGTGTTGTTTGTTGTTGTATATACATCAACACTTCATACTTGACGTCCCACGAACGTTTATTTGAAAGAATAAAACAGATTTGAAATAACTACAGTCGTTGATGTGTAATTGCAACTGATGTAGGGTACCATCAGTAAGGACCATATATTCACACTAACACAAGAAATAGTTTTTTTTTTTTTTACCAACGGTGTATTCTGTTGTTACCTCAATAAGAAAAAATGAGAAAAACTATAAAACAACATGAGTAATAATAGTAATTGTACATTAGACTCATAACATTTTTTAAAGTAAATTAATGTCCAAATCTTGATAAGCACTTTGCAATTACTTCTTGCTTGTCAGGCCTTGGATTTAGGGCTATGTTCTGTGGCAATGGGCGATGAGTCAAATGAGAAGAACTGTCCTGGTTAACAACGTTGGTGTCCAGCCGCCGCTGTAGAACTTTCTCAACCAGAGTCTCTCTGAATTTTTGAGTGGTTTGTTCAAAAATCGCTTTGGCTAACCATTCTTTGGTATGTTTCGGGAAAACCACATTGTACCGAGGTACACCTATAATAAAAGAAAAAAGATGAAACATAACAGAATAAATTATACAAATTGTATTGATTACATTACTATAACAGAACATTTCCATTTGATTCTCAACTTTATGAACTCAGATCTATTGTCATCACCCTACATATTAAGCACAGTATGTTGTTTCCCACTTATCAGTAGTGGTTGTGGTTTGCTGACGACCTACATTTTCATTGTGGTCAAGGATAGCTAGTTGTGTTCTTGCAACCATGGACGCATAATGAAAATACAGGTTCTTTGAGCAGTACTTCAGTAGGACAGAATGAAACACCTCCAGTTGTCCTAAAAATAAAAGAAAAATTTGTATCCGGTGTACCTACATGAACATGTGTATGTACATTAGTATGTGTATATAACTATCTTACCAGTGTGTTTGAAAAGAGCCATTTGCCTCAAATCCTTTAGAAGTCCTTTTTTCCAGGACAAGACTCTGTAGCGTGTGGAAGGCACGTGAGTTTTTTCCAAGTTTTTTTTCTTTGTTGCTGTTCCCGGATTGAGATCATTGTGTCCACATTTTTTCGGCTTTCCTTCTTCAATCCAACTGTGCACACCTGTAATGTGAAAAAGAATGGACTTCCAATTCGCGATCAGTTCTGTATAAATGCATGAATACGCAAAAAAGTAATTATAATAATAATGTATGAATTATAAACAGAAAAATAGATGTTTGTGGTCCAGCAACCCCAATATTTAAAACATTACAAGAACACAATTTAGCTCCCTATAAAGAACAAAGTTCATAACAAACAAACCATAGTAATAGATTTTTTTTTTTACAAAAAATGCAGACTGTCCTGTTGTGGTTCAGGGACTCATTTATAACATTAGTACAGTATAAAGGCTATTATGTCTACGTAACGCCCCCAAAAAAGATAACAAGTGTGTGTGTATATATTAAGAAATTAAAGTTAATATTAAAACATTAAAGAACTTACGTCAGGGTCACCTCCATAAGTTGCAGAGCAATACCATAGATGGTTGCAAATACTTCATATACATGGCTGCAGCTCTCGATTGTCCTTGTATCTTGACATGGAGCACAACTTTTTGGAAAGTCCTGAAAAACCATAATTTTAATTATCAAACAATGAAGAAGGAGTGGCAATATAGTGCATACCAAGGTTAATTTAGTACTTCACGGTTTATTGTAGCAATTTTTTGATCCATGCAAACTACACATTGTATATTCCTACATAGGAATAAATAAGCTTTGAACTATGCTGCTTTTTGGATAATTCATGATTAATATCTCTCTCTCTCTCTCTCTCTCTCTCTATATATATATACACATATAGTAGTATTAAATTGTTGTGAGACAGTTACCTTTGACTACATGCCAAGTAGTCTTTCTAATTAGATTAGATTAGTCAGCACATCTATTTTGATTCCTTGCTCTTGTAGTGAGTTCACAGCCCTCTTGAAACCTACTGGCTCCATGGCCACAGAACTAGATGCTTCTGTAACCTGAAATGCAATACCATGCTAGATAAACAAGGTGTGTGTGTATTGTAGTTGATGTTCAAAATAACCAACATATTTTATTAAGTATTATTAAAAGCATTTTATATCGATCATAACATTGCAAAAACTGCCAGTAATGTTACTGTACTTCACTTTAAAATACTGAACACTTACTAAGGTTACTTATAATTAATAACATACGGGATGTAGAATTATGTCATGTAAACTGACCTGCACCAACTCAAAGTGAGCAATCTTGTCTGTCGTGTCATCCATTAAACTGTAAATGTTGTATTTCGCCGAAAATCCAGGGCTAAAAGAAGCACAAGTACAAAACATTTCAGTATTGTTAGAGTACACACTTCACTGTGTGGAGTTCAGTTTGCAAATGCAAGTCATTAATTGCTGCCTTCTGTTGTTCTTGATATTCTTCATTAACAACTGGAATAAGGTAGGAAGACTGAATGTCATGATAAGTGGTTTTATGGGGTATTTGAAGGTTGAGCAAAGTGGCCCAATCAGCGATGTCTGTATATGTTGCTCCAGTGAATAGTGTGCATGCAGAAACAAGAAGATTATTAGCGGGCATTCCCCTAACATCAGTGCATGAACTCCACTTTCCCTTGTGGTTTTTTTCACATTCTCAGTGAACACGGAGAACACTTCCCACAGTTGCTTTTCTGGTCTTTGTTATTACTGATCCACATTCTTGACATCTCCATGACATTGGGCTCGTTGACAATCCATTTTATCTGTTTCCAATGCATTTCACATTCCTCATCTTCTGTGCTTGGGGCAGATGTTGAGGTTGAACTCAGTGGCTGAAAACTAAGATCTTTCTTGTCCGATGGAGGATCTATGGAAAGCATGCTAACATCAAGCTCCAAACTTTCTTCAAATTGCTCTTCTGCCTGTTCTGGTTGATTATACACAGGAGATTGTGAAATTACATGGATTAAATTTGGTTTATAATATAACTGAATATAAATTCGTAATGTAAATAGTAGATTTAATACATTTATTACAGTATATCTGTGCATTTTTAAGGATACATCACCACCAAATTATTAATTTATTTCAAATGTATAACACAAAAGCATAATTGACCATAATTTCACTTTGTTAACTGGTCACAAATGATGGTACTTACAGACTGGTGGGAGTGTATTGCAAGGAGGGCATAATATGTCCCAGATGTTGAGGGTTTTGTCCTCTTTCCAACACTTTCAGGACTTGTGAGCATTAAACAAAGTTTAGACTGAGCATCTGCAAACTGTCTCATGGTAGTTCCTGGACCAGAGTCCTGATGCTTTGCTGGTGTTGACTGTGGAACATTAGCCAAAAACACTCCTGCTCCCTGGACCTCCAGCTCAGCGTCATTGTCTTTTGCTAGGGGCTCTAGATTTCCACGAGACGGATACTTAGTAGTAAAAAAATACATTTTAACACGTCTTTAGTAATAGGAAGACATTAGTAATAAATAAACATTCACACGTTATGAAACACATTAACGAGAAAAAAACGTTAATGCATCTAATATAGTAAAAAAAAAACATACATACCTCTGTTTGCTGTAAAAACGTATTGGGCACAGCCGACGCTTTCAGAAAACGGCGATTTCTTTGCTGGGAGGGTTTGAAATCATCGTCGAAAAAATGATCACTGCACACTCTCTTAATCAGAGTTTCTTCTTAGGTAATAGTAGTTAATAGTGCTAATAATGCGTTACTCATGTGTTCATGTGTAGTTATTAATTAATGATGAAACAAGTATTCTAAAGTGTTACCGATGCTTTTTCAAAATGTAGATGTTCCTTTGAAGCCGAGAGAAGTTTTGTTGCAGGATACAAAATTGCACTCGACTCTGGTGTTACGTCCTTTTCCACATTTGCAAGTAAAATTGTCGGTAACACTTTATATTATCTTTCATTAATAAATCATTAATAGATATTACATAATGCTTAGCAGATCATTAGTTAATATAAATTTGCGTAGCTAGAAATATGAGATAACGTGCTTGTTAATGTTACATAATGATTAACAGATGCTTACAAATATCATTCAACTTTCAATTCATATGATTTTGCAATTTAAAAAAAAAATCTACAAATGATTTAGACAGATGGTTTACAATGATTAAAATCATTAATAAATCATAAACATTATATAATGTTTAATGGATCATTAATTAATATATATATATATACACAAACTCGATTCCAAAAAAGTTGGGACACTGTACAAATTGTGAATAAAAACAGAAATTGACTTAATAAGTTGCAAATTGGTCCTCCAGCTGTTCCTTATATGTACATGTAACTTTTCCGGCCTCTTATTGCTACCTATCCCAACTTTTTTGGAATGTGTAGCTCTCATGAAATCCAAAATGAGCCAATATTTGGCATGACATTTCAAAATGTCTCACTTTCAACATTTGATATATTTTATTCACAATAGAATATAGATAACATAAGTTTATGAGATTTGTAAATTATTCCATTCCTTTTTTACTCACAATTTGTACAGTGTCCCAACTTTTTTGGAATTGGGTTTGTATATATAAATATATATATATATATATATATATATATATATGCAGTACATATATTTAAATAGATAACATGCTTTTTAATGTTTAAACTTAATAAAGATTACATAATAATTAACTGATTATTTAATGTAAATAAAATGCCAACAAATCTCTTTAATCTATATGTATTACCTAATGCACTTTTTTACATTTACAAAAAAAAAAGTTTAATTAGTAATTTTATGCACTTCACAGTTCACTATTTAGGTTAACATATTATTCAATGTCTCGTAACTGTTGTCACGATCTCTAGCTGGAGTGCCCACAAGCTCCACTAGAGGGTACTCATCTCATACCTTTGCCGCTCAGTTTGGACTCCACTTCCCATAATCCTTTGCCCGGACTCAACAACACTCAGTACCAGTTCACAGCTGCCTCATATTAGTAGGACTATAAGAATAGCACTCACACACACACACTTGCATTGGTTTATGGGGACTCTCCATAGGCGTAATGGTTTTTATACTGTACAGACTGTATGTGCTATTGCTCTACACCAACCCTACCCCTAAACCTACCCCTCACAGGAGACTGCTGGCAATTTTAAATTTCATAAAACAGTTTTGTATGTTTTTTAAGCCTTTTGTTTTACGGGGACACAGGTAGTGTCCTCATAAACCATGTTTACATTGTAATACCCGTGTCATTATACACATTTGTGTCCTCATAAACCATATATGGGTCAATATCACTGTAGGGTGCCTTTTGGCGTCCTGTACATAACTCATTTGCCATGATAACTTAACATAAAAATGACTATGGAAGAGTGTGTTATATTAGGGTAAGTTTTTATATTAATAAGAAAAGCATTACTTGGCTCTTTAGATACATTTTCTAGATTGTTTTTAGTTTTGTGTAAGAGGATGCGTGTTATTTTGCTATGTGCCATGCACTGCTCAGTAAATTTGAATGATAGTAGAATATTTTATATATTATATAAAACATTTTGTTCTCCTATTAATATTTTGTTAAATAAGAGATTACTCAATTTGAGTGTATTGATCATTCGGTAATAAAAATGATATTTATATTTAATAAAAAATTTCAGCGGCTGAGGTGAGTAGGTTGGTGACTTTTTAATTGACAAATTTTCTTCGTCTGAGTTTGCTTACTTGCTTTGCCAAAGCTTAACATGTCCACCCTGTCGCCATAAAATATGCCAGATGTGATTAGAATACAGTATTTTCAAAATATATAAGTTCAAATTCTCTTCAACAACCAGACTGAATATTT